ATAGAGGCTAATCTACTGGACAAAGGTAATCCTTTGTTGAACCAGTAGTATACATTTTTACTAATAATCGGACAGCTTTATTTCTAATTGGAAGAAATTAAAGGGAAGTTTGAAAGGGGGCACTAGGGGTAATATCTATGGTGAATAAAGCTACATAATCACTGCTTGCTCCATTGGGAATAAATCCCTTTACTACCACCTGCAGTTGGGCTAACCATTTAATTTCTTATCTGTTCAATAATACCTAAGAACATTCAAGGTACTTATAACTGGGGCTTACCACCTGAACACCGACTTACATATTGTAGGGAACAGGACTTATAGCCAGAAGCCTTCTTGGGATAAGTACCACCAGACCGGTTTATTACTGGATTGGAATAAGATTAGAGCAGAGATCTGTGTGAAAGACACCGGATATTAGGGGAAGAATCACCAAACCTGCTTGTCAAAAGTGGACACCTCATACACCTTGCAACTTCTGGCAATCATAGTAATACCAACTGGATGATCGTTGCGCCATGACATCTTTTCTGGAGATTAAAATCTCAACGTTCTACTGGATCAGCGTGCGAATAACTTCTTATGGGAAATAGGGCTTAACAGGTTATGGTCCCAGATACCATTTTTAATTCAGTTCAATCACATTCACCTGGGGTTAAACTGGTATCTTGTGATCTGACCTGTAGAGTGTTAACCACTACACTATGGACCCACAGTTTCATTATATTATCTAATTATTATTATTATTATATTATTATTATATTATTATTATTATTTTAACTTCTTTTGATATTATTTTATTATTATTTTATGAATTTATTCTTGAAATTATTATTTATAAGAAGGAATAGTATCATAATTCAAGATAGTTGTACTTCATATATCATGTGACCATGGAATTAACTTGTGAATTCTTATCAATTCTTTAAATTTCTATAGTTTTTGTATGGTATATGATCTTCGAAGTGAAATATCTTATTATTTCATTAGAAAACTAATTAAAGTCGTTTTATCAAGCTATAAGCAAAATGACTAGACAGATGTATTTTATATAATTTGATAAAATTGATAAAATATTAATATAATTAAATAATAAGTTAAAAAAATATATAATACTGTATATTAATATTTATAAAAGCTTTAATTGTAAAACTTGATCTATTTAACATTTCCTTTGTTTTAACCAAGTGTAATCACGCGTTAAATATGTAGATATTTTTTATTAATGCAAAAGTTATAGTAGTGCAGAATAAACCGCATGATTTATTTCTGCTTACTTATAAACGAATTGTTTGTCTCGATGGATGCATGAACCGTTGAGAGGGGAACGTCTAAGCGGCAGAGTATTATTATTGTTCGTTCGTTCCTCCGTTACAAACCAAATGTCCATTAAACTCCAAACAAAAGCAGGACTCAATGACGGCTAATTTTTATGTTACACGGCGTATTCTTTTTATGGTTATAGACGCTACTGCTCCACAAACGTCGAAAATAGTTTCCTTTGGTGAATGCCTTTGGAACTACATCTTGTTGATTTATCGTACATACGTCCGTACTTTGTTCTGTAACACTTGTTATGCGTGTTTTTGTTTATTTTTTTGCGTATTTGATAATATACACGTAATTGGCATACATTTTAAATTTTTGTTGTGCTCTCGTTTTGGGCCCAAAAAGAAATTTCTCGAAAAAAAAAAAACCATCATGTATGGTTCATTTACTTCCGGCTTACTTCAGTACTTTCACATGGTGATGAGCTTCTCTAACGCTTCTCAACTTTGTCGCATAAATCAAATGCATTCCCGTGCATCAGATACCGAAATTATGTAGTTAGGACCCGATCTAGCCATCTTTGTTCGGATGACAGTTTTTCATTATTACGAGTTACAAAAAGTAAGCCCTCCATGCAAGAAAACGTAGTACCACGATGCTTTCTTATATCCATCTATCCTTTGCTATGCATACGAATAAATAATATGAACTTTAGATTAATACTCAATTCCCATTGTCTAGAATTGGGAATACATTTTTCTTTCGCTTAGACGAAGTAAAAAATTTATTAGAATTACAAAAAAACATAGACGGATTTTTTTTAGACAATTTAATTTAGAATGGGAAGTTGCACTTCAAAATCTAAAAAGAAGCGGGAGCACTTCACAAACACGCTGCAGGCACGTGGTGAAATCTTGGGGGCAGATTTGAGAGCAATGTTTAACAACCCCGTTTATAGCGACATTATCATCACCTGTAAAGATGGAGGAGTTGTGTACGGTAGCAAGTTGCTCTTGGCGGCTCGCTCTGATGTATTTGCCCGTATCTTGCTAAACCCCGCCAAAGCCGAGTCAGAGAACGAAGGATCAGAGTTGATACCTGCGGACGTAAATATCATTAACATTTCATTTCCGGAATTTACATCTTCAACCTTGTTAATAGTTCTCGAATATTTATATATGGGAAGCATTACACAGGAAACTCTGTCACTCAACAATGTAGTTGAGGCATACCTGTGTTCCGAATACTTCATGATTCCACAACTCGAAGAAATTATAATCACATTCTTGGACAATGCACTCAGATGTAGTGCTGACAACAATCTCTCGGCAAGGCTACTATCACAGGCGGCAGAATGCATGCTACCGTCATCTGACGATTCGTTTTTTAGAACAATGTATAATTGCTTGGCAACAACATCACTGGAAACCGTAGACTACGAGAATTTGAACGAAGCAGCATTAAGGTTCATATTATCTCCGATTTGCGGGGGTGATGCCGACGAAGAATTTGTCACGCCAGAATACAGTGTATTCAGATATACAGTGTTATGGTCAGCACATAAAATTTCCTCTAGTTTAGTATCCTATTTTGAACCTTTGTTACCACCTGCCGACATGGCGGAACGTCTTGACGCACAAAAATTGAATCAATTACGTAGTTTACATGAGAAACGTAAGAAAAAATCGAAAAGTATGGAAATCCAAAAATCCATTGACCCAATATTATCACCACTTTTGAGCTACGTGAATTTTAACTTAATTCATCCTTCGATCTTGATAAATATTATTGAACCACTGGACATCATCCTACCTGAAATACTTGCGAAGGCATTTAGATGGCAAACACAATTACCGCCTGGGAGTGGGCCTAAAAGAAGTAGAGGAATAATCACGGCGAAACACGAAAACCTAAAGTTGCATTGGGATCAAAAAGCTCATGGTAAAAAGATAGTGCTACTTGAGCACGGGACAATCGTCAAAAGTCAGTCGAGAAATTTTGGATTTGCGAGAACTTCCTTGCCAATCAGGGGATACGAAGTTTACGAATGGGATTTTATAATCGAAGAGCCGTGTAAACACACGTGGATTGGAGTGTGCAGTATAAGGGACAATAGGGTGAATTATTCAACATGGCTGGGAGGAACAAGTTATGGTTGGGTACTTGGATCAAATGGATATTTAGCTCATAATAAGGGAGGTGTAATTAATGAAAACTCAAGGCGAAATCTGAAAAATTACGGACTCAAATTTACCAAAGGAACAATAATAACGATGCATCTGAATATGGAGAATAGAACATTGGCATATTCCATTAATGGAATAAATTTTGGCGAGGCATTTGGCGATTTGCCAAATGAAGTTTATCCGGCAGTCTCTATAAAACGTCCCGGTAAGATCAAGATTCAATCTCATAAGAAAACAACATCAATGATTTCGATGGGTAATTTTCAGGAGAATAGCGAATCAGATCCTTTGTCCTCTAGTTTATGACATGCGAACCATAGCGTAGGAATTTTTCTCCGTTATCATCTCAATGTCTATGGTTCTTGAACACTTTTCCATTACAGTATTCTTATATGTAGATTTCTTCGACTGTAACATCTATTATGCTCAAACCTCAAAGAACTTTCCCACTCGAAGCAACACTGACATTAAGCACTCAGTCAAATCGACGGTAAAAGTTTTTATGCATATAGTAATCAACCTCTCTAAAATTATGATATTGAAATAAGCCTTGAATTTATTCAAATAAAAATTAAGCTGTTGAAATCGTAATAAGTTCATTTTACAATCCAAAACATTAGGGATACTAAAAAAATTCAAAGAAATACTGTACAGTATAACGAATGCATGACCTTACTAAGATGGCAAGCATTACCGTTGCATTCGGAAAATTAACAGAAAGATTTGAGTGGGCTGATTCTAATGTGGGCCTACAGAAAGAACCATGGATAGAATTTCCGCATTTTCTCAACCGACGTTGCTATCACGTGATAATTCAAAATAGACCATCACGTACTTTCGTGGCAATACAAAGGATCGCTGGACAGTTTTAATTGAACGCAAATCACGTGTTAATAAAAATAGCATTTGAAAATGAATGCTTTGACTGTGAAAATCAGACCGATCGAGCCCCCCCCAAATCATACGAGATTTCCACGAGACCTCATAGTAATCTGATTGCATGCATCGGGGATCGACTAATATTTAATTATATATAAATTAATAAGTTGATATGCTCTTGTTTCTGAGTATTATCATTATTTTAAAAATCAGAGAAGATGGTTAGAGACTACTCCAGTGAAATTTTGATTACAAAGGTAACTTATTAATGTTTATATAGGGTGAGCAAAGTCAATTTTTTTATTCTCGTAAGTATGGGATGAATGGTTTACGAGAATCGAAAAAATTATTTTGGTTTGCCCGATAAAAAAGGAATCGATGAAAATATTTTTCAAGAACATGCATATATGTGTATGTGTATTATATACAATAGAGTTCGGACTTGGCTCAAGAATACGAACTAATAGTCGTCGGGGCTGGAATTGTTGGATGTGCTACTGCATTTGCTTTTGGAAAGCAAGGAAGGAGAGTTTTGTTAATTGGTAAAAAAAAATTTTTCACAATTAATATATTTCCCGGCAACGCTTAGATGTTTCGATATGACTATAGCTAATTAGTGACTGATCGACATTTTGAGGAGCCGGCAAAGATTCTTTTTTTTTTTCTGTATATCTGAAGTTTAATCAAAATCCAACAAATTCATGTTAAATTTAAATGCGAATGGAAACAGAAAGGGACATGAGCGAACCCGATCGAATTGTTGGAGAGTTGCTTCAACCTGGTGGTGTCTTAGCCTTGGAAAAGCTTGGATTGACAAGTAATTATCGTATTTAAAAAACGAGTTTTTGTTGCATATCCTTCTTAAAAAGTCCTTTTTGTCGATTAGATTGTCTTGATGATATCGACTCCACTCCGTGTCATGGTTATCAAGTGTTTTACAATGGCGAATCCGTTCACATACCTTATCCAAAGAATGATAAGGGCACTCCTTACAGAGGCAGATCCTTTCATCATGGTAGGTTTGTCATGAACCTTCGAAGAGCCGTTGCAAAAGTTCCAAAGTAGGTTTGCTTCTTTGGGATTTCTAAAGCTTTTAGCAACATTGGTTTGGCGGTACCGTCTAACAAATTCCTTACTTAATCGCATAAGCGTTACGATCTGTGAAGGTACTGCAAACGAAATAATTCGATGTTCAATATCTAAACACGTATTGGGAGTGGTTTGTACACCTAAAGACAATAGCGAAATTTTCAGACGCGTGAGTAATGAAGTTCTTTGTAGTTGATTTTATAACCCGAATTTATACCTGTTAAACTGAATTTTATTAACTGTTGTAGTTTTTTGCCCCATTGACGATCGTTGTTGACGGATGCTTTTCAAAATTTCGAAAAGATTTTATTCCAAAGGAAGTTCAGGTAAAATCAAACTTTGTTGGGTAAGTAGCTGAGAAAAAATGGAAAATCTTGCAGTTAAGCTAAAATTGTGACCGGTGATTGAAAAATGTTTTTTCAAATAAAAAATCAGATTCATAATGAAAGACTGTGCGCTGCCATGCCAGTACCATGGTCATGTGATATTGGGAAAAACCGCTCCAATATTGATGTATCAGGTTTGTTTTCATTCAACCATTCGCTTTTACCTTTACCACTACAACGATGAAATACGAATTCATGCACTTATTTACAGATTGGGACACATGAAACACGCGTTTTGGTTGACATTCCCGGTAAACTACCAAGTAATGGGACTGGTGCCCTAAAGGTAAGAATAATAACATATTGATATTGACAAGTGATTAGAATATTAAATTAAATAGCCCTAATTTAATTCTATCATGCAGGAATACATTGAAAGAGAAATTCTGCCTGGCATTCCAAAATCTGTACAGGTAATTATCACACGAATCTAGAGAACAATTCTTGACCTGACATTTTTAATTCCACCTTCTAAATCGACTAGCAACCATTTTATGAAGCAATACAACACCAACGTCTCAGGTCAATGCCAAATAGCTTCTTGCCCCCATCCACAAATACTACTGAAGGGTTAATTATGTTAGGCGACGCAATGAACATGCGGCACCCACTGACTGGCGGTAAGCATCTACAATCTTGCACATCATCTCACAGAAAGATTCTGACAATTGCTTTTTTGATATCCTAAAGGTGGTATGACAGTAGGATTTAACGACGTAGTAGTGCTCTTGGAACTCTTATCTCATGAACATGTGCCCGATTTTAGCGACACCAAATTAATATTGAAAAAAATGGAGATTTTCCATTGGAAAAGAAAATTCTATTGCAGTTCTGTGATCAATGTTTTAGCTCAGGCCCTGTATGCATTGTTTTCGGCTAATGGTATGTAAATTTTCCACGAATCTAATAGATACCCTAATCTTATTTTCCAATTATCTAATGATGTTGATTATTTAGATCAAAATTTATATGTTCTACGTGAAGCATGTTTTGAATATTTTAAAATTGGTGGCATTTGTATTGACCATCCTTGTGGAATGTTGGCCGGGTAAGCGACGAACATAAGTTCCTACATCTTTATAATTATTTAAATTATCTTTATTAACTTTTTCCCATTATCATCGAAATGCAGTGTATTTACAAACCCATTCCTGTTAATAACGCATTTCTTTGCTGTCGCTATTCTCGGGATATGGCGGTTATTCGTTGATGGAGGAACAATGCAAATTCCTAAAAATGTTGTAAAAAGTACTATGGTATTTTATACGGCATGTGTGGTGATTTTTCCTTATCTGTTGTGGGAAACCAGGTCTTGAGATCAGGAGTGATCCAAAAAAATAATTACTAATATACTCATAATATTTATGCTTAAATTAAATAATTAAAATAATAATACAAATTAAATTATTTTACAAGATTTAAACCCGGATGAATTTTTATAAGGTTAACAAGCATTTGGAGCATTTAAACCTTGGAATTTAACGTACTCAATTAATAGCTTGTATCAAAGAATGCTGTCGATAGTTCGTTTACTGTTTCGATATTTTTTTGAAAATTGTTAATTGAATTGTAAAATTGGTATTACTTTTTAATTACTTATTTTAGCTTCTGCATTTTTTCATTATATTGCATTAAAAGCAGCAGTATAAATTTTTTTTCAAATTTTTCTTCAGTAAAAAAAAAACCAATGTCCTGACAAGAGTTGCTTTTAGACATTAATTTCGCTATATCGTACAATCATGAAATTGAAAGAATTGTATATTTAAAAAAGTATTAGACTTGGGAATAATGTGAAACTTTAAAAAAAAAAATCATTGTAATTTCTTGTTATTAATAATTTAATAAAAGATTATAATTTCTTTAAGATTTTGACAAAATTATTAATAGTAATAAGAATTTACATAAAGTTCAAAAATTATATTTTTTGATTAATTAAAATTTTTATTTTTTGATATATTGAATTTTCAGTGATTAAAAAAAATATATATTATTATTTCCAAAAAAAAAAAAAACAATTGAATTTTTAATAAAAAATGTTTAAATATAAAAAAAAAAATCTTGAAAATTTGTATTGATTATTCAAATATTTTTTTTTTTATTTTTTCATCAAAATTTTTTTAAAAAAAATTATTATGTTATGTCAAAAAAATTTTTAATCAATTTGTTTATTATTGTAAGAGGAACCAAAAAAATTAGATAGATTCAACATATGTCATCCTCGCCCAATTG